ACGTCAGAACAGTCCCCAATTTCCGGAAAAATTAGATGCTACGATTAAGCAATCGATGAGAGCAGAATATTAGCACAAGGTAAAAAGTGCAGGGTGTCCCGTGGAACATGTTTCTATGACCATGCATGCGTGTATGTGTGTCAGTTCATAGTGTGTTTGCGTGTGCGCAAGTGCATCGTTTGATAGTGTTGGGTGGAGAAATGCACGTTTGATATGAAATAAAGATTCTTTTAATCCCACAGAAAGTTGGGTCCGATAAAAATATAGAAGAGTGAAAGTAGTATAAAAGTACTTTATTTATCACGTAGTATAGCCCGCATCACCGCCATTTTAATTCCACTGGTCCTTTTAAATTTCGTGTTAAAAAAACAGAATTACTTCAGTCTGATCAGTCTTTTTTTTTCTTTTTTTCTAGAAGGGTGGGGTGGCGGCTGCATGTTCTACGCATGCCTTTGTTAGCTTGGCTTAATTAGAATCACAAATGTGGCTAAAATAATGCCGGAGTCGGAGTGACAGAGAAAAACGAACTGAGAGAGAGAGAGAGAGAGAGAGAGAGAGAGAGAGAGAGAGAGAGAGAGAGAGAGAGAGAGAGAGAGAGAGAGAGAGAGAGACAGAGGCAGACACACACACACACACACACACACACACACACACACACACACACACACACACACACACACACACACACACACACACACACACACAACAAAACTGTGTCTCACCTTGTGACACATAAACTTGTGTTCCTGCACACAGAAGCAGACGTCGGGGTACGACAGAGGCAGAGACTCACAAAGACACACAGACACACACACACAGACACAAAGACACAACAAAAGTGTCTCACCTTGTGACACATAAACTTGTGTTCCTGCACACAGAAGCAGATGTCGGGGTACGATAGTGGCAGAGACTCGGGCTCAAAGGGGAGCTCACCCACCACCTGGGGAAAGTTTGGGACGACTTGTTTCACGGGTACCATGCCAGATAGGACGGGGACACAAATAACAGTTAGAAGTAGTAATTAACCCTATCCGTATGTCGTGTTTTACTATCGTATCCATATGACATGAGGAACTCTGTGCCACCACTTAACCCTATCCGTATGTCGTGTTTTACTATCGTATCCATATGACATGGGGAACTCTGTGCCACCACTTAACCCTATCCATATGTCGTGTTTTACTACCGTATCCATACGACGTGGGGAACTCTGTGCCACAACTTAACCCTATCCGTATGTCGTGTTTTACTATCGTATCCATACGACGTTGGGAATTCTGTGCCACCACTTTCCAAAGAGGAAATTTACTCATTAATCCGATCCGTACGCTTTGCATAGCAGTCTGTGTGTCAAAATGATTTTTTGAGAAATACTGAAAGTTTTTAAGAGATCTTCATACTAGAAGTATTCTAAAGTGTGAAGAATACAACCACGGGGGTACAAAATGACCCAGAGCGTACGGATAGGGTTACGGTGTAGAAGTAATTGATGTTTTAAAGACCTCACTGACAGATTCACATTCCACGATCACTTAACAATCAATTTCTCAGGGTATCCAGGCAAAGACATTTTTCGAATATAAAGACATCAAGAGGCATCTTACAACACATTTATGTTCTGTATCATTATTTCTATCAAACTTTCTAATTAAAAAAAACTAGTGGTCAAGTCATAGTTCTGATTTGGGGGGCTCTCTTTTAAAAATTTTCTCAGAACTTAAAAAAAACTGACATAGGTACTTGAGGAATGATGCTGGAGAGATATATGCATCAACCCTAACGAATTCATCATAGACAGCTAAAAAGAAGGCGCCAGCAAGAAGAAAGAAGAGAGAGAGAGAGAGGCATTGACTGTAACCAATTGAATTAGTCCGGGATGTTTAAACGTTGGCCACCAGAAAGTAAGGAGAGATACATCAACTGTGCATCAACTGCACCCTGGAATTAAGTTCATTATAGACAGCTAAAAAGAAGGTGCCAGAAAACAGAGACAGATACAACTCAACCATACCATGAAATTGAGTTTGCCACAGAGAGGTAAAAAGGAGGCAGCAAAAAGAAACAGAGAGAGAGAACGCGTCAACCGTACCCAAAAATTGAGTAGGTCGGGGAGCACTCAGTGTGCCAGAGAGCAGAGAGAGAACAGATCAACCTTACACAAGAATTGAGTTTGTCACAGAGAGCTAAAAAGAAGCAGAGAGAGAGAGAACACATTAACCGTACCCTGATATTGAGTTCGTCATAGAGAGCTAATAGCAGAGAGAAAACCCATCAACCGTACCCTGAAATTGAGTTCGTCATAGAGAGCTAATAGAAGAGAGAGTACACGTCAACCATACCCAAGAATTAAGTTGGTCAGGCAGCGCCCAGTGTGCCAGCTGTGCCAGGTCTCGCTGCAAGACGTCGCTGCCCTGTGATTCCAGCACCAGGGTGGTCACTCTCACACCGGGCTTGCTCGACTCTGAAAAGGGGGGGGGGGAGGAGAGGGGAGGGGGAGAAAGATTGTAAATTATGGAGAATAGAAACAGTCAGAGTTTGGCATTGGGTTGAAAATGTGGGAAACATGTAACACATTTTATGAGACAATATTTGATGTTGAGTTAAGTTTTGATCTAGAGTTTAACACTTTGTCATCATATTTGGGGGAAAATCCAAAGAAACTGGGTGGTAAACACATACACAAATACATTATAGTTGCATAGAACTTGAAAAAAATAAATGAATATGACAGACAGAAGCAATGTCTACACATTTTATCAAAACATGAAGACCACAAATAGCCTGTCGTACTAATGATGAAATTCACAAGACATACCCCAGGACAACGTCTTTTTCATCCTGTCCTCTATCTCCGTCATGAGTTCGTAGAGCTGACACTGGCGGGCCAGTTTGAGGCAGTCGTCCACCAGGTCCATCGACACGCCCATAGAACCTGGGGTGGGGTCAAAGTTCACGAACGTTAACACTGGGATATCCACATGGAGATCAAAATGTTCCGTGATACTTTACAAATATTATACGAAGTCGATATTCCCTTGTATTAGTTTTAGTAAGAGTTTTACGGTACTTGCAACACAATACGATCATATAAGTGCCGAGGATTGGAGGTGTTACAAGAGAGTAACAAACACAAATAAAAGAAGGAGGGGAGATAAAGAAAACAGATGTTTGATAGGAAAGAAGGAGCAAACCACACCAGAGCACCCGTCAACCACCCACATACTGAACTCCTCTCACCACTATCACTCGATGAAGACATGAACAAACAAGATTCTTTTTATAATTAAGTAATACAGGGGGTCCAACCAACCTGTGTACAGATACTGTAAGATTGACCCAAAGGCTCCTTCAGACATCTGAAAATGGACGTGAAAAGAACAAAACTTATTTTATATATGTACATATGTTACATGCGCGCGCTGTGTGTGTGTGTGTGTGTGTGTGTGTGGGCGCGTGTATGTGTGAGAGAGAGAGTGGGCATGTGTGTGTGTGTGTACGTGTATCTTTATTTTTCAAACTCAGATATATGGAATACATATATTTGAACATTTATCGTTCACCAACAGGATTTGTACAGGACAGCGAAGTAAAAATGAGAAAAACAAGAGTAGTCGATGAAAAGCCATTTTGGTCCAATACAGCCCAGTAGGAAACATTGTGCTTGACAAAAGATTTATTTTTTCACTTTATCAACATTTTCTTCTTGATCTCATAGTAAAAGTCAAAGTTACCAATTTCGAGGGGAATTTGATGATGAAAATCTCGACAAACAATTGAACAAGGCGCACAAACCAATGAATGATTCAGCTCCACCACGGGTTTGTTCAGCCATTTTGTCTTGAACATGTTGGCGAAAAACAAGCAGCGGGCGCTGAGAATGCAGCGATGGGCGGGGAACTCTTCGCCGTGTACCCGGAACACGACGTCGCTGTAGACTCGGTCCTGTAGCAGTCTGTGGCCGGGGAAACAAGCAAGGTTCTTTTCTCAACAAGAATTGTAATATAATAGATGTTGGGGACAGAAGGAAGATTCTTTTCTCAACAAGAATTGTAATATAATAGATGTTGGGGACAGAAGGAAGATTCTTTTATCAACAAGAATTACAATATAGAGGTTGGGGACAGAAGCAAGATTTTCTTTTATGTTTTTGTTTTGTTTTAGTAAGAGTTTTACGGCACTTGCAACACAATAAGGTCATATAAGTGACGAAGATTAGAGGAGTTACAAGAGAGTAACAAACACAAAATAGAATGAGGGGAGATAAGGACGACAGATGTTTGATAGGAATGAAGGAGCAAATCTAGAGAGGGGAGGGGGAGGAGGGGAGAAGAGGTAGGGAGAAGAGGTGAGAAAAGGGGGCAGGATGGGTGAAGTGGGGAGGGCCAGATGAACAAACTGACAGGTTCCAAGTTCCAAACGTGAATATATGACATCACTAGCTGAAGAAATCTTGGTTACACTTTCTCCACTTCATTTGAAAAGTAGGTGTGAGAAAATGTCTTTTATTCATTCTAAAATGTTCAGACAGAAACCCAAATTTTAGCTGCGAGTACATGTGTGTGCTTTTTAAAAATATATAAATCATAGTATGAGAGAACTGACAAGAAAATTTGAACAGATGAAATGGCAAAGAAAACAAAATTTGAAATAAAAATGTGTCATCCTCGTTGAAGACATGTGACATCACCTTGCTAATCCGTGGATTCTGAACTGCCTAAAACTGTAATAAACAACCACCAAAGTTCGCCCCCCCTCCCCATTGAACTTCAATCAAAACGTACCTTCTGAGAAATTCTTCATACAGCTCCCTCCTGATGGTTCTCGATGAAATAACATGATAGCTCTTCAGCAAGTTTCTGATGTCATCGGTTAATGCCCCATACAGGCAGCGCTCACCGTCAAAGGTGTTTGCCTCACATTTGGCACCTAGCAGAGGGAGAATAAATAATAATAATGACAATAATAATAATGATAATAATAATAATAATAATAATAGTAATAGTAATAATAATGATAATATTAATAACAATGATAATAATATAGTAATAATAATGATTTTAATAGTAATTATGATAATGATAATAATGATAATAATAACAGCACCTATATAGCGCATATTCAAGCCTTACAGCATGCTTGGTGTGCTTTATAACTACCGTTACCCCAGCACACCATTTAAAAAAAATTTAATTGGTGGCCACTTGAACATTTTTTTTTTGGGGGGGGGGCAGCTCTGGTAATCAATTAAAAATTTTTGCTTAAGAATCAGGAGAAACATGCAAAAGGAAAACCTTTGATACTAATATTGTACTGTGACGGCAGATAACGATTGCATTGACAGAGATCTTTTGTTCTTGTACATCCAGTAAAGCACAAGCTGTTGAACATTTTAACGTTTAGTTCTAGTACATCTTGTAAAGTACAAATTATTATTATTCACCTTTATCCAGCAAATACTCCACAATATCTCTGTGGCCACATAAGCAAGCATAGTATCTGAAGAATAGTAAAAAATAGAACAGATGTTATCTGCACTAGAAAACGGAAAGACTAGCATTTGTTTCAATGAATTTTACATAACTACATAACGACCAAAAATGCCAGCAAAATGATAACAAAATCAGAAAAAAAAGAACCCATTGACATTTTCTGATTGTTTCAAGATAATTTTATGCTATTTCGAGAGTCGCACAATTTCCAAAATTTCATCAATCTGATTTAGCTAAAGATATTAGCTAACGTATAAAGATGAAACCCACAGACAGAAATCAAATTATTCAACATAGGTAACTGTTTTCATTCAACTTAGATCACATGGGTCTATACAAAACCCAAAAGCAAACTTGAATAGGAATGGAGTAGGGGAAACCCTTTCAGTCAATAATGCTAGGATTAAAAAACCTTAATTTCATACCAAGCAAGCTTCTCAGAGTTGTTCAGTAGCAGTCTCCAAGAAATTCGCTTAGAAGTTGTGACCATTTGTACCTATCCAGCCTTGATAAAGGATGGTAATGAACCACTACACCCACACATTATATAATGAATGCTTGAAAAGCTTGCAACAGATCTATAAGCGTAAATTAAAGTAATGTTTGTGACCATTGTCTTAAACAGAGCAACAGAGGCACAGAATTTAACACTTTGCAGTCACACAGCCAGCAGTATTAAATACCCCATCTGGTCACCCAGCCAGGAGAGCGACTGCAATGGACTTCTCAGGCAAGGCGCAGAACTGCGCCAGGTGACTGGAACGGATCATTTTCACCGTCCCATTTTCATAGCGCCAAGTGACTGCAAAGTGTTAAGGAGAGTGTTGTTATGCCTACAGAGGGGAAAAAGCGATACGACATGGAGGGTGAGAGTCTTAACAAAATGGAACAATGTTAAGATCATCAAACTATTAATTCTAATATTTAAAAAACAAGACTACTTTGACAATAGGAAATATCCAGAAAAGCTTACAACGGTGTACTGTCCCATTTATCCCGGGTGTCGATGTCTACCTCTTTCATCTCTACAAGATACCTGAAGACAAGAAGAGAAAACAGAATTTTAAAAACATTCCTTATGATGTATCAAAATATTGTCAGAAACTGTCCTTGTCAGTTTTAAACAGTGGCATCATAAGGGTCAATAAGGGGCTTTGTTTGAGAAAGATGAAAACAGAAAGAACTGTGTTGATTGAAATTGAATGAATGAATGTTCTGGGTGCAGTTAGGAAGTCCATTGCTGACATATATATGGGCGGAAGTGGTGCAAACGCTGTTTTCAGTGTCATACCTGTGTTGAGAAAAAGACGAAATAGACAATTCCAAACAATTTTTGCACGACACATTGTCAAAACACTGTGAAGTGACCAAAACAAAGTACTTTCCTTTGGGACTAGATCTAGATAAAGATCTTATATCACTTAACCTGCTATAAAAGCTTTCCTTTTATTAGTCATTTGCTGTAAAAGGTTTACTTTTTTACTATTACTATACTATAGATCATGCAACGGAAGCAGCTAGTCAGCTCATGCTTTCAATAATTTCTGCAACAAAAAAAAAATATATATAGATCTATATCCTACATAGTATCATAAACAACTCACAATCTCCTCAAGCTTCAACAACAAACCAAAAACAACTTTCTAGACTCTATAAAAATGATCCGACCCAAGACAACGCACAAAAAAGGCCCAGTATTTCAATTTGGTACCAGACACTAGAAGAGTCTCAGCTCCAATTGCCAGCCCAAACTTTACCCTTTAAAAAAAAAAAATTCAAACTCACATAGGCTACAATCTTATTTAATTATTATATTTATTACAGACGTATAGAATCTAGATCTAGATTAGATCAAGCAGAGACGTAAACGAAACCGAAAATCAAAAACATTTCTCACTGAAGACGCTGCAAGTCTCCCAATTTGCAAGCATGAAACATGTCTTGAATATCCATTATGGAAATGATAAAGCCAGTAAAGCATGGGGCCTTTGAATTTAAACAATTCAATAGATCTATATATTATTTCGACACGGAACACGTAGTAAAATTATCATAAAGTCTGAACACAAATTTCAGGTTACAGTGAAAGAAAGAGAGGACAGCTGATTCTCTCAGCAGTCAGCAATCCTTTGGCATCAAGAACTTCCGTCAGCAATGTTTACATTTTTCATTATAGGCCTAAAACATTATAGTACAAGTTATGAAACATTCCCCCAGGTAGTTTAAAAGCACTTGCGATACTATAAGGTCATATAAGTGCCGAACAAATATTACCAGGAACAACAAACAAAAAAGAAGGAGGGGATACAAGGACGATAGGTGTTTGATAGGAATTAAAGAAGCAAACCACAATAGCGCACCCTCCAATCACACGCCTTTCTTTGACTGAAGGTAAAAAAATATAGCACATTTTAACCATAATAATAATAATAATAATAATAATAATAATAATAATAATAATAATAATAATAATATAATAATATTATTATTATTATTATTATTAATAATAATAATAATAATAATAATAATAATAATAATAATAAAAAGGGGGGGTTGATTTTTAAAACAATGTGGTCGCAGCTTTTTGGCCCCGGTCCCAAAAAAAAAAAAAATTTTACTGCTCGGAAATCCTTTTAATTTGGTTTAAAAATTTTTACCCCCCCCCCCCCCCCCCCCCCCCCCCCAACCAATCAAAGCAAAAACCTGACGAGCTCGTGTGCCGAAGTGCGGCAATTACGGTCAAAGGGAAACAACAAAGAATAAAATGATCAAAATAGTAATTACGGATTTGCCTCCCTTAAATAGGACCAACGACGTTTCTCCACGATCATAGTCATTGATCATTGGGTACCAAAGAGGTTACAATAAATAGAACTGGAGGTCTTAGTTGTGACGTCACGAGTGTCAAACTGGAGATGCGGGCCACCATTCCGGAGAGGAATAAAAGGTCAGTTGGTACACAGCAACACTTTTCAATCACGGATTAATGATACTCTGTGAAGTCTTTTGATGTTGATTTCTTTTCTTTCTGATTGGCTATCGCATAAATGTACTCATTGGGATTTTTTGTATTGTTTGCCTTTAAATGAGCCAGATAATCACCAAAATAATGCAAATAGAGACTTTTACACCATGTGACGACATGCGGGTGTAAAATTCAGAAAAAAATGAATCAACTTGATCATCACTTGTTAAAATATAAAACATAATTTTATTGAAAATTTTTGCTGAACGTCGCTCAAACAGTATGTTTAGATTTATCACCGCTGGCTACAACAAGGCGCTCGTTTCGGCCCTCTGGAATCAGGAATGTGACTGAGAAGCTGCTAGAATAGAAGCTTCAACTGCAACTCTAGCATTCCTTCAAGGCTGGCTGAACGGAAAAGAACCACAGTCGATGTTGTTGAGATGAGAGAGTATAAAGTACCCACCAATAAGACCGGCGTAATATTCTGTCTCATTTGCGGAACCGATGCCAAACAGCATGTGCAACAGCAGCAGCAGGGGTTCATGGAAGATGGGGTGTTGTGTAGCCAAACATCTGTGCCAATTTTAGAAAATATTGTGAACGTTTAAGATAAACCAGTTATTTATCCAAGTGTTGTATTTTAAAATGTTGTCAGTATATAATTATTTGTGCCCGATATTAAACAACGCTCGTTGGGTGTGCGCACAGGATCCATACAATGAGTGATTTACAGTATCCCAGCCTACAGTTAATTGCTCATTTTGAGACAATAACGAATTAACATATATTGAATAATTAACCCAGTCTTAACCCCTTTCATACTCTATGAAGACATAGGCTTTGCATCAGTATAAGGAGAGTGTAGACAACATGACATAAAAGCAATCCATTTTGTAAGTGTGAAGTTGTTCCTTTTCTTAACAAACTCAATTACATTGTACCAGTACTCACTTTGTCTTCCTCCACCTCTCCCACACCCCACGTAGTAGAAAGAGCCAGGAGTAAGGGGTGGGGGAAGGGGTGGGGGGAGGGGTGAAAGGGTGAAGAGTAAAGCTTGTAACAGAACATGACAAGAGTAGGCTACAGGTGAGGAGGAAGACAAAGGGGAACATTGGAGGGAGATACACTTTTCTGTCGCCGGCATGTTTCGATCCGGGGATCTTTTGACTGAGAGGCAAACACTGTGCATTAAGACCACAATAGCCCCTATCTATTAAATAAAATTGGAATGAAAAAAACCCCACTCAACACCCCCCCCCCCCCCAGCCCACTAAAAAAAAATTAATTAAGCTTTTAAAACACAACCAAAAAAAAACCCAAACAAAAAACCTCCAAAAAACAAACGAAAACAAACAAACCTGAACAAAAAAAACAAACAACCCCCCCCCCCCTCAAATCAGCACACATCTTTACTAAGATGTGAAGGTATCAGAGTCCCTCACCACCAGTTTAGTTTGTCGTCTTTAGTCACAGAAAACAAGGGGAGAAAACAGAAAACCAACCAGTTATCGTTTTTTTAAAGTACCGTAGGTGTTTTTACACCTCCATCAACACAATTTAGATCATTTGGGAGACAGGCTTTAACCCTACTTGTCAGGACCACACTGGGCTGCCAAGGATACAACATTCAGCAGAAAGATCTAGATTCTTGATAATAAGAATCTCCCCCCCCCCCCCCCCCCCCCCCCCCCACCCTTGGGAAATCAAATTGGGGTCTCCTGCATGCCATGGCGAAGCACCGAACCACTACACCACAGACGTCAGTAGTTGTCCTCTGGTTGGGCCTGAGTGGACCACGGATCAAAGAAGTCTTCGTAGGCAAGTGAAGCATTGCTATCGTATAAGTCAGCATGTTTATCCCGAGCCCTTCCTGGATCAAGAACAACAACCTGAGAACTGAGCCCTTGTTCTTTGATCCATTTTTCTCTATCTGGTCGTCCATCACATAGCCTACTGTAGCGAAAGCTCAATGATTAAAATTTTAATGAACTGAGCAAAAAACAAACAAACAGAGTCTGTAGAAAAAGTTTACTTTCACCTCCATACATATATTATACAAAAATGGAAAAAATTTTCCTCTTTCTAATGGAGGTTTTCTGAATAACATAAGCTTCGTGCTATCTTGCACTGACTCCATTTTTCTGGTTTTGATCACTCTGAAGGAACTGAATACCAGCAGCAACAACAGAGGTACTACCCATGAAGCTGAACCTCTGAGGAATACAGGCATTGTCCAAATCAAATACTTTTTGGCTCAAGGGGCAGCTTTTTTCAACAGCGTTGACAGTCGCGACAAAAACTCCCAAAAGTGGGAAATTGGAGTCTGTGCAAGACAGCACATGGATCACAATCTGGCAATGTCACTCCATTGGTAACAATAGAATCGGTGGGATATAATAGAAACCTTTTCATCATGTACAAATTTTGCTATGTACACGTTTTAAATACGAGGAATATAATAATATATATATACACACACATGACATGGAAGAAAAAATTCGGGACCTGGAAATCTCTTGTCATACATTTCCTTTCTTTCCTTCATCCTAGCATTCATCACAACAACTTTCTTCTTTCCTTCATCCAAGCATTCATCACAACAACTTTCTTCTTTCCTTCATCCAAGCATTCATCACAACAACTTTCTTCTTTCCTTCATCCAAGCATTCCTCACTACAACTTTCTTCTTTCCTTCACACTAGCATTCAACACTACAACTTTCTTCTTTCCTTCACACTAGCATTCATCACTACAACTTTCTTCTTTCCTTCATCCAAGCATTCATCACTACAACTTTCTTCTTTCCTTCATCCAAGCATTCCTCACTACAACTTTCTTCTTTCCTTCACACTAGCATTCATCACTACAACTTTCTTCTTTCCTTCACACTAGCATTCATCACACGACCACAGCGCAGAAATTACACCTGGACTTACCCCCCGCGGCGGTGCCACTCACTGAAGTGTCTTTAGGCCATTCCCAAAGGGGGGACATTTCTCGTTCTAATGCACAGTAGAATTGTAAAAGGGCAGATCCAACAATGTCATGCTCATAACTGTGCCTAAACTACAACAGGAAATGCCTGCTTTTTCTTTCCTAATCCTTACTATCATCATTTTCCTCTACTTTTTTTGTATGTTTGTCTTACTCTTGTGACCCGCTATTTCCGGGGTGCCTTGATGGTCGAAGCAGACTTTGTGCTGTTGAAGCTAGAGAGGTGAACAGAGTAAGTCTGATTCCCTGTAAGGACTTCTCTGTTGACATCCACCTCTTGGCGCTCATATGACCTTATGCAGCTGCGAGCGCCGTAAAACCTGTACTAAAACTAAACACTTGGACTTGTGAAGTTCACACGACCACAGCGCTGAAATTACATCTGGACTTGCAAAGAGAAGCCACGCGTCTCCACCGGTCCCCGTCAGTTGTCGGCACCGTGGGATCTGCGACTTCCACAAAGTTGGACACGATCCTCGCCCCACCCGGGTACCAGCCGCCCAGGTCAGCGTGTTTCTGAGACGCATACGATTTTCCTGTAAGGGAGAAGAGACGGAGATTTTCCTGTACGATACAAGAGACGTAGAAAAAAATATAAGACTTTATTCACCGGACAAATAAAATCTTAAGTCCCAATAGTTTCCTTCTTGTGTAAGACTGAGACATCTTAGAAGCAGCATTTCCTCAACGCAGAAACGGAATTAAGTTTAAAATATGGCCATTGTTAGTTGTTTTGTCTAAATCTATGATAACTCATCACGTACGATTTTCCTGTACGGTAGAAGAGATGGAGAAAAAAAAATATCACTCTATTCGCTGAGCAAATAAAATCTCAAGTCCCAACAGTTTCCTTCATTGTGTAAGACTCTAAGACATCTAAGCAGCAGCATTTTCTCAAAGCACAAACGGAGTTCAGTTTTATGATATGGCCATTGTTACTTTTTCCGTCTAAATCTATGATATCTCATAATGATACCCCAACGAGTCAGACGAAATGCTTCATGGGCACACACATGTAGTAATGTAGTTTATTGTGAGTGATATATCAAGGTAGCGATAAAGAGCCAGAAGCCCAGAGGAGGGGGGAAAGGAGGTGAGGGCAGAAAGTGGAGATGAAATCAGAAAACAGAACATTGCTAGAAAGCAGGAAAGGAAATGAAAGGAGTCAATTTTAGAGAAGAAAATGTTTCTGTCGCTATCCGGATTCGAACCCGGGACCTTTGAATTTGAAAGAGAGGCGAACACCTTAACCTCTAGGTCACGAGAGCTCCCCACCAATAGTGAACAGGCTGCACTTACCACCAATAGTGTAGAGAAGACCATCCATGGCCAGACTACAGTGATGAGAGCGAGAGTGCTGCATCTCGGCAAACATCAACCACTTGTCCTCCCGGACATCGTAGCGTTCACATTTCTGCAACCGCCTGCGAGGATTTTCCCCACCATACCCACCAGAGACAAATATTTCCTCACCTGCAATTGCAAACAAAAGACAGGATTTTTTTAGAGAAACCAGCACAATTTCAAAACTAACAGTTTATTTTAAAAAGTAAGAATTTATTGTACACAAAGTAGGCCTAAAAAATAAGATGACGGCAACACTTGGAAGAGACAAAAGTTATAAAATATCATTAACTAACCACTAGCCACATACATAATTACCTCTTTTTTTCTTATATTTTCAACAGTCTCTTATTCCAGAGTTTGTCTTTCCCGTGAGAAGACATAATAATCTTGTCTTGAAGACACAGGTGTGTGTTTTTTTTTTTTGTCTTTTTCGGAAACATCGACCACACTATAATTTGTAAACATCCACATCATCGGGGAAAAAGTAGGCCAAGATGGTGATTGTGTTATGAACATTTATACTATCAGACAAAAAGTAGGCCCTATCACTATTTGATTTTAAAATCATTTCTTTCACAGGAAAATGTCTTTGAGGAGCTTCGTTTCAAAGTTATCACAGCAATGGCAGGACTTATGTATTCTCCAGCTAGTAAATGACAACAAATGCCCTTCACTGACCTAAAGAGACCACAGCGAAGTCACACCTAGTGCTGATCATGCTGGACTTGGTCAGCCATCTTGTGTGGTCTTCACTCAGCGCCAGAACCGCGTCGGAGAAGACTCGTTCCCACATCGGGCCGGAGAAGCCCCCCAGGAGGAAGAGCTGACCTTTGTGCACGACCGCCTTCAGGCCGCAGTGGCTGGCGTCTAGCACAGTGGTCAAGCTGGGCAGGGGTCTTTTCTTTAGGGGAAACAGAAATTAAGTTTTAGTTTTAGTACAAGTTTGATGGAACTTGCAACAACACAAAAATGCGTCATATAAATGCTGAAACAGAAAGAGAAGTGAATCGATACAGGCAAGAGAGCTTTTCTTTGGAGGACTCAGAAATTTAGTTTTAGTTTTAGTTTTAGTACAAGCTTCATGGAACTTGCAACAACACAAAAATATGTCATAAAAATATAAATGCTGAAACAGAAAGATAAGTGAATCGATATAGGGCAGTGGACCTTTCTTAGGAGGACTCAGAAATTTAGTTTTAATTTTAGTACAAGTTTCATGGAACTTGCACCTCAAAAATATGTCAATATAAAAGCTGAAACAGAAACAGAAGTGAATCGATACAGGGCAGGGGACCTTTCTTTAGAGGAAACAAATTAAGTCGTAGTTTTAGTAGCCTACAAGTTGCATGGAACTTGCCATACAAAAATAGGTCATATAAATGCTGAAACAGAAAGTTTAGTTTTAGTAAGAGTCTTACTGCACTTGCAACACAATACAATAAGGTCATATACGTGTCGAAGAGTAGAGGTATTACAAGAGAGTAACAAACACAAAAAAGGAGAATGAGAGATAAGGACGATAGCTGTTTGATAGGAAACTGAAAAGACGGACAGAGAACCTACCACATCACACAAGATATCTCCATCTTGACACTTGACATCAATGGCGATTGATTCTTCCACCCTGACCGCATAAATCACGTTGTTCACCGTGCAGTGAGCCACAGTCCCTCCGTGCGTCAAGCATCGCGTGATTCCATCGCGGGCAGCCTCGGTGAACACTCTGTCGTCCCGGTCCCACTTATCGAACAGATGGTTGTAAACGTAAACTACCGTCGTGTGAGAACAATCGTTCCTGTCGGGCTCCACTGTCATGTACACAGCAAAAAACGTCACGTATCCCATCAGGTTTAACGCGACGCCGTACGACGGAGCCTCCGGTAAGCTACACACGGTGGATAACGTGTCACTTCCTGGGTCGTACTTCTCTACTGTTGGTGTCCGCGGGCACGTTGGACTGGAACAAAAACAATAATCCAATAATCTGATTAAACGCTAGTTCAGTTTTCACATAAAATATCAGTGAAAACAGCAGTCCCAAACTGAAAAGTCTGAAATCACTCTCAAGGAAAACAGTGCACCAGAGACAGGCCTGCCATAGAAAACAGATATAAACATGATATATACAATATTATACAATACAATATCATAAACATGATATATACAATTATATATACAACATATGTATACAACATTTTGTACCAACATCAGATGCCATCACTTTTGCTCCATTAACTTGCACTACATTACGACACGATTAGAGAGGATTTCCCAGCAATCTTTTCAGACAAAGAATAACACTTTCCCCAACTTCAGACTAATAAAAATATAATTGGGAGACTGTTACTGTTGACAGAGATAATTAATTGAGATCTTTTTCATAGAACAAAAGAAAACTCTCACATACGGGGAATCAGGCTTACTCTGCTCACCTCTCTAGCTTCAACAGCACAAAGTCTGATTCGACTATCAAAGCACCCTGGAAAAGAAGCAGAGGAAAAATGACGATAGTAAGGATGAGGAAAGAAAAAGCAGCAGTTCCCCCTATGTTGTTCCGGCACAGTATGAGCATGACATTGATAAATCAGCCCATTTACAATTCTACTGTGCATAAGAACATGCTATTATCCCCTCTTTGGGAATGAAACAGGGATTTGACCAAACTATCTGCAATATGAACTGGATATTCGATTCCTCTAAAACCGGAACAAGACGTTCACCTACCCTGTCCGAGACTGTAAGAATCCACAAATAATCATGAAGTGATGTGTACACTTCCTCGGGACCTCTGTATCCTGTTGCTGAAATCGTCTCTCAAGCTCTAAAATAAAAATCATAACAAACAAATTCTTGATCATTAATGGTACAAACAGATTAACGATATCATGAAGAATTAAACATTTTTACGTAATTCTATCTCACCCCTATTCTAATTGTTGAAAGTAACTTTCGATGTCCCATTCTTAAAATAACAAGTAAAAAGCGTTTTTTGCTCATGATGTCACGCAACCCAAATGTGGCTCCAGTGACAATGGAGACGTGACCTGCGCATGGTAGGCCAGTTTCTGAATAGAATACTCCCGTTTACTTTTACCCTTTAATCTCTACTAAAACAAAAACATGCCACACACTCTAGAAAAGTAGACTTTTACCCTTTAACTCTTTATCTCCAAGGGGGGTGAACCCACTATGCCGGGGCAATATTTTGGTGCTAAATGTAAAAATGACAAAAACGTTATTAAATGGGTCATGAAATCGAAACTAGCAAACCTATTTCGATAGTTCTTCATCTAATGAATGAACATCCGGTAAAAGAGACCGCAAAAAGCAATTTGATGTCGAAGTCGTCGTAGAGGAATGTGCCCAAGCTGCTGTCAGCGGCTTGCCGGAGATAAAGAGTTAATCTCTACTACTACAAGCCACTCACTCTAGAAAAGTAGACTGTTACCCTTTTATTTCTCCTAATACGTACCACACACTCTAGAAAAGTTACCAAGAAATTCAGCAAAAATTCAAACTCAATACTACGGTACGACATTACCAAACAAGACAGCTCTAACCTTGTTTGCCCTCTACATCAGAGTCATCCAAGAGTTGTCTCCTCAAATCCTGGGAGACCTCCGACACACTCACATGACCCAGGACCTCCTCAAGGTCGTGCACCCTGGCGTCTCGGTCGTGCTTGTACCACTTGAGCACCGCCTCCAGGACAAAATCCTCTCCACGGGGACCTTGGAGTAAAAGAGCATCATCATCGTCATCATCACCACCATCATTGTCATCATCATCATCATCATCACCATCATCATCACCATCATTGTCATCATCATCATCATCATCATCACCATCATCATTATCATCATCATTATCATGATCATCGTCATTATTTGTCATGATGATGCTCATCATCGTCATCATTATTGTCTTTATTGCTGTCATCATCATCATTTCGTCATCATCATCATTGTCTTCATCATGTAGCCTTTCCCAACCTGGATCAGGGCATAGGCCACCAACAAACATTTTCCACCTTTCCCTATCTTGGACTAGCTTCTTGACATTATTCCACGTCTTTCTACTTTTCTCTAATAATAAAAATAATAGAGTCAAACTTGGGGTTTGATCACCAACTCAGGGACCCTGACAAAAATGGTGCTTAACTCTCTCCGTACGCCCTGGGGTCATTTTGTACCCCGGGGGTTGTATTCTTCACATTTTAGAATACTTCTAGCTCAAAGATCTCTTTCAAGACTTTCAGTATTTCTCAAAAAATCATTTTGACAGACTGCTATGCAAAGTGTACGGATAGGATTAACAAGTAAATTTCCTCTTTCGAAAGTGGTGGCACAGAGTTCCCCACGTCATATGAATACGATAGTAAAACATGATGTAAGGATAGGGTAAGGGAAAGAAAATGAGTTAAGCTTGATAAAGAGGTCTTTTCAAATCAACGTGAGAAAAAAAAATGAGTTTGGTTTTACACAAGGGTCTTCACAAATAAACATGAAAATAAAATAAATGAGTTTGACTTAACAGAGCAGTCTCCTCAAATCATTATGAGAAAAAAAATATTTGGCTTGACAATACAACCCACATTATATTGTCTTGAACGTATCGGTGTTCTTGTCTTTAATAAAGAAGTCTACCGAATCCCACCATGATTTGCTGTGTAGATCTCAATACTGTATAAAAGAAATTAAAGACTGAAAAAAACCCAATAATCTGACTGAATGCTAGCCTAGTTTTCACAGACACCTTTTCCATAGAAAAAGAGAAAATTAAAAAACCACTCAAACGATCAAAATGGCCATAGCCAGTCACAGACCTGTTCTCAGCCCGTCCTCACGGAGAACTTCGACAAGATCTCGTGCCGACAGCTCCAAAAAAGCCTCTGTGTGCACCACAGCCTGGAAGTACAAGCGAATCACTTGACAGCAAGCCTGGCCCAGCTTCTCACAGCTGTGAGTCTTGGCAAGTTTCAGCAAATCTGGAAAGAAAGAAGCACAGGTTATTTAAAGAATACATATAACTCGATAGCTGTATGCAAGACTGACAAAGGCCATTACACCATTTGGCATTTGTCTCAGTCTTGCACTCAGGCATCAAAATGCAGATGTCTGTATATTATACATCTGTGCACACATCACCCATTCAATCCTCACTGTAACAGAGTACCCTTGGAAGCTATTCTATGTCAGTCTTTGCTTGCAGCGGTCAGCAATGATCACTTGTGGTCATTACCAGCTCTAAACTACAGCCAGTATTCCTTACACACAAAAAGATATCTACACATGAGAAGGATGGAACACGCGACCTGCATGGTACTGTCAACGATAGAAATAATGGTTTATATATATATCTATCATTTCCCTGCTTTTAGCAAAGTAGACTGTAGTTGTCTTTTGTTCCATCTGCCAAACTTGTCCTGAGCAACCTCTTAAAAAAAAAAAATTGTCAACCGCTTCAATGCTGTTGTATGTACAGGCTTTTAAAAAGATTTAATATTTTCAGCAAAACAAATCGCCCCCTGTTAATACCGGTACATACCTAAGCAGTTCGATACATCCAGTTCCCATTCCATAAACCTTGTGCACATTGCGTAGATTCCAGACATACTCCAAATGTCAGAGAGCTGAAACATTTTCTGCACATCAGTGGCCGCAACTAAAAAGAAACATTTTAAGATTTTAAAAAAGCATCATGTCTAAAGTCCAATTGTATGACTTAAAGTATGTTGAAACAAAACGCCAATAAAAGGCAAAAATGTGGGGATTTCACAAAGAACTGAATTTCTCAACAGATACTGAAGGATGAAAATCTTTCCATTTCATCTTTTTGCCAAAGAAGGCACAGCTTTGTTTGACTGAGCTAGAAAATCATGATGTCACAACACTCATCTAGTAAAGAAAAAGGCAATACAACCCGTCCCCGTGGTTTTATGCACCCCACATAATTTAGCAAAATTTGATAATTTTTTGCATAATTTCTGATTATTTCCCTTTATCATTTTTTGCTAAAATTAACAGAATCACATAATTTTCACATTTTTGGGCTCAGTTTGCATAATTTCAGAATTTTTTTGCATTAAACCACAGGGAGAGTACAACGGACTTAAAATAACAGACCAATGAGTAGTGAGTAGAACCAACAATAACACCCTCCATCCACATTCAGTAGACCTCTATAATATACTGATTCTTCACACCAACAAGGTAGAATAGAAGTATATCGGACCAAAAATAAGTTTCACAAAACACATGAACATGTTTGTACATTTGCCACTCTATGAACTATGTCATTAACAGGCAATCTGCACAAAAAACAACAACAAACAAAAAAAACATTACAAAAAAATCTTAATATATATATAAGAGTTTTTATGCCCCTTTCGACAAAATTCAGATCATATAGAAAGCTAGCTCCAACCCTGTGTTTCATGGCTAACCCTGGCTCTGAGAGATTCAACTTCCCATCAGAAAGACCAAGATACTCGATAAAAATTCTCTCCATACATGATGTGAACTAAAGTCTTCTGCGTTTAACAACAAATGCCTAACTTTACTGTTACCCCACAGACACTGGAAAACAAATTAAACGATGCGGAACAAATGGAAAATTATGCAATACAAAGATCTATATATATACATTACCATGCATGATTCCCTTGTAGAAAAACTCAATCAGCTTTGATACAGTTTGAAAATCCACATATTCCCCAAGATCTACAACAGACTGGGAGCTTTCTGCAAAATTCTCTGAAAACATGGCCTTGAAATAGTCCACTTTATTCGCCAAAACCTCCTTGTGGGCTTTCACCTGACAGTCTGCAGAGCCAACCTGCTCAAGTAAACAAAGTCAGATATCAAAACACCTGTACTGTAGCACTTTAAAAAAGACATAATCTAAATAAAAGCAAAAATCTCTTACTTTAGACACAAATGGTGAGTTTTTCTATGTTTATTTGTTTAGAAGCACAGTGGGCAAGGAGAGGCATTTCAGACCATTTCTCTTACCCAACAATGGAGTCCACTTATTATGAAATCTGGAGACATGAATTCTTTAGAGTTCAGTTCTAGAAGTTCGCAAATTAAACAGTACAAATGTGTCCAAAATGTTTCCAAAACCATTTTGTTTATCATGTTTAGAGCAAATGCAGATAGATATAAAATGTTGCTTTCATCTGTTTGTTCTCAGGTCTTATTTATATTATCATTATCATCATCATTTTATTATTATAATATAATATTATTATCAACTATCATTAATATAATTACATCATCATCATCATGATCAATTATCATCACTATCATTAATATCATCATAATTAATGCAATTACAAATACAATACTACTACTTTACCTGAAGTGTGATATCAAACGGTGTTTTCTTAATTTCATTCATTTCTCTCTTGAAGGCCTGTTGGCCTTTGACGGTGATGGTCATGAGGTTTCCCTCAACTTTCACTTTACAACCATCCTCCTCAAACGTCAAGCTGGGAGGGCAATACTTGAGTGGACTATGTTGCCTTCAAGCAGGAAGGACATGAGGATAGAAAAAGCTTGGCATTAAAATTCTTTCATAAAAATAATGTAATTTCACATTCACAGAGGCACCATATAAATACTTGTCTTTATGCAGATTATAATAATTTACAATTGATGCATTATATCAGTGTCTGAAAGGTCACATTTGGATCACATTGAGATTCAAAAGACACTTAAATTATTTTTACAAAAAGGAATGTAAGCCAACTATAGTACTAGATATCTAGATCTAGATCTATATAGTAACAGAGGCAGAGGAAAGAAAAGTCTTGATTTTTTACTGTCTAGAAAGGACTTGGGAGACTGAGAACAGACTTTAAATATTAAAAGACAGAGGGGTGCTCATTCAAATTGATATTGCCACTGCCCTCCTCAGACTAGTCTGACTTGATGATTCAGTTTTAGTTTTGGCATAGATTCTTCTAGATCTGTAGGCCTATTACTATTGATTGGTTTCGAAGAGCGGCAAAAGCGTTTTATCTATTCTGGCTTGGCTTAGACTAATGTCAGGTAAAGATTTTTATTTTACTTCAGAATATCCACCTATTAACAAGCAAATATTTATTGAATTCAAAAGCAATCTTTAAAAAATCATGTGGAATCTAGCCTCCTAATCAATAAGATCATCAGTTATGTAAGTTGAACTTGATCTGATCATATTCCGAAATATTCGGAAGTATGAATGGGAATCTAGATTCTAGACATTTTACATTTCAAGATCTAAATTAGACAAGGTATTTTTAAGACTAAGAAGACCAAATACATACATGGTGGCTTCGTCTGTCTGCACTATGACTATAGCATAGAGACGACAGAGTAGGCTGAAGTGAAAGCAACTTCTTGGCAAGGCTAGCGGCTAGCGGCTCGACTTGGTCCTTTCACTTTTCAATGTTTACAATTCTGAGTTTACGCCACAGAATTCTGTGGTTTACGCTCAGCCGTACAAATTAAAGTTCGCTGATTTTGGCTCCAGCTTCTGAATTGACTTCGCAAAAAAGTTTTATTTCGATGGCAAAAATAAGGTATCCAGAGTTCACCTAACTTTAGTCATTCATGCCTGTCTAGTTTTTGGTTAATTTTGAAAGAAAAATAAACAAGAAGACCTGCAATGTTAAACTAATAAGGTATAGAATTCTCCTGATGAATAACTATACAATTCAATTATTTTTTCTGTTTCGTGAAAAAAGCCTTTAGATTTAGAATCGGGAAATCCCGATAGGGCCAAGCCTACGGTGTAGAGTTGGGCGAACGGTACGGTGACGATGAAGAAATTGTACCCCTCCCCATAATAAAGAGGGTTTTTTTCCCCCTCAGTTCTTCCCAATGTGCCAAAGAGTGTGTTGAATTCCCCCTTTTTTCCACCTTCCAGCTGCCCTTTCTGCCCGTTTCTCTACACTATCATCTGTGCTGAGAATCTGAGAAGTCTCCCAGCTTTCTTCTTTCCAGTCTTCATTCATCCCTGTTTCTTCTTTGTTCAGTTGATGGGAAAATGTAAGACTGATTGAACAAAAAAACTCCAAAGAAGTAGACCTTCCCGTGGCCCTGTAGACCAGCCATTGTAATTACATTGTATCTGTTCTCCTCTGTAGTGAGAATCCTGAAGTCCAGATCTCCTGTGTATGTTGAATAAAGCATTATTTTCTCTCTCATCATGTTATTGTTGTTGTAATAATGCTATTATTATTTGAATTTGTTGTTCTTCTTGTTATTGATAACATATGTTGAATAGTCAGGATTAGGATGGGTTATTCTTTTCCCTTTGGTCATTTGTCAGACCTTCGAAACCTCACAAGGGTGGTTGGCGGGTGCTCTGGTGTGGTTTGCTTCTTCTTTCCTATAAAAAATCTATCGTCTTTATCTCCCTTCCTTCTTTTCTGTGTTTGTGACTCTCTTTTAACACCTCTAATCTTCAGTACTTATATGACCTTACTGATTTGCAAGGGGCGTAATGCTCTTACTGAAACTAAAAAATCACAATGACTTAACAGAAAGCTTAATCCTGTTCAATGTCTTATTTGTATTTATTAGACGTAGGCTGCAGGCCTACCTGGTACTGGTACGTCAAAAAAATGCACAATTTTCCACACTTTGAGGTTTCAGAGAATGCAGAATACATAGTACTGCAAGGGTCAATAAATGGTGTCACTTCACACAGGAGGGCACGGACAGAGCCTCAGTGGGACCACCTCTCCCTCTTGGAAGAAACTTGAACCATAATTTGTTTTTCAAAAGAGTAGAGGACCAGCGAGTTATTTCACAAGCTTAACAGTAGGTATCCAACTTACTGCAACTGCTTCAGCATTGTTGCTAAGAGACCATTGTACTGGGGTTTTTTTTAGTAAGAGTTTTACGGCACTTGCAACACAATAAGGTCATATAAGTGCCGAAGATTAAAGGTGTTACAAGAGAGTAACAAACATAAAAAAGAAGGAGGAGCGATCAGGACGATAGATGTTTGATAGGAAAGAAGGAGCAAACCACACCAGAGCACCAGCTAACCACCCACCATTGTCCTGTGGTAGATAGACTCTATAACTGTTTACTGACATCTTACACAAACAAAACAATGAAGACAGCATAATTTTTGTTCTATACTGATATCTTTTTAATAAACTTATTTTTTTTTAAAACTTTCACAAACATTAATCAGTGCATAAGAATATGCGGTATACTAAAAAACTAACATGACACGAAATAAAAAGAAGTATCACTAAAATCACAATCGCATAGAATAATCACAGATTAAAATGAAACACACCTTTGTGTGTCTACCTGTGTGTCTGCATGCAACATGAATTTTTAAAAACTTTTAAAAAGCTACGTATAACTACGTAAAAAGTAGAACTACGGCTGTTAGTAATTTATAATGATAGGAGCACACAAAGACGTGAGCGAACACAGACAGCAATCTTGTAACCACTGCAGCCCATTGGTTTTGAAAAAAACTGCTCGACCATCTCAGTTTGAGCGTGTGTATGTGTGTGTGTGTGTGTGTGTGTGTGTGTGTATGTGTGTGTGTACGTATGTGTGTGTGTGTGTGTGTGTGTGTGCACATGTGTATGTCTGTGTGCATGTGTGTGTGTACTCATGTTATGGTGCTGTGTGAGTGATGTCCATGAGAGAGAAAGAAAGAGGGAGAAGAATGAGAGAGAGAGAAAGAAGGAGGGGGGGGGGGGGGGGGGGAATGGCATTAATAATGTTATTCGTGTATTTCACTATTGATGAAAAGGTGTATAAAAAATTTGTTCACGTAAAATTTTCTGAACAGCAAAATGAGCATTCACAACATCGACACGCGCTATATTAACCTTTTCCTGTTCACACGGTTTGCCATCAACAATGGCCGCTCATTTGTTCAACTCCTCATATTCCTGTATTCTTTTGCACTCAGTTAAAGTGAACGTAAATTCCAACAGTCGATAGATCTACCAGCTTTGACACTTTCCAAATCAGAAACGAAAGCAAAGCTACAACTTGATGTCCATGATTTATTTTTAGAAAAGCCACGTCTACACAGTATCAGCATCAGCCCCAAGGGTATTCCTTCTGCTTTCAACTGAGTTAACTCCAGAGTACGTATTTTTTAACAGCAAGGTAAAGTGAACACGAAAGGGTTGGCGTGATCAAATAATACTATCATTGTTATTATATATGATTATTATTATTATCACAATCTTACATAATACCAATGCTCTACAGTCGTATCACATTTCTGCATTATATTGTGAGCAAAGAAGAGTAAATGATTGTATAAAGTTATGCTCTATGCCCCCATCACCACAATATAATAGATCATCCTGGACCAGCCCAGACTAAGTAGGATACAATATCCCAGCACAAAGGTGGAGATACTTTATAAAACATACGATACTTCCCAAAGTGGGAACTGAGCTCTTGTCTTCTGTAAGCAACAGCGAAGAGTCAAACCATTGCACACCACGGACGTTAATTTAAAAAAAGAGTGTTTTATCACAGTATTTACATTGACTTAAGGAACACAGTACATGTATTGGTACCAGATAAGAAAATGCTATGATAAGCATAAACTAGTTGCACAAGAATAATAACAACTAAATAATGAACCATAGAAGGTGGGGCAGCAACGCAACCTGTGCACAGAGTACTGATCAATAAATAATGCCAAAGTAAACTGCTAGTAAAATTACTACTTTCAACTAAGATTTCCACAACCCAATATAAAAGCATTGTGAGTTAATAAAAATGAAAGACCCCCTGCCCCATAAAAAAGAAACCATCAATACACTCCAGAAAACACTCGAAAGGGCCCAAACAGGTGTTAAACAAAAATTAGAATTATTTTCTTTCAACTCTTATCACCACTCACAAAAGTCTAGAAGCTGATTAAAACATAGATCAAATGTTATCCTTATCCTTTCTTAGTGTCCCCATGATACCAAAGGCATTAGGACTTTGATGAAAAGTGAGTGACTGGCTCGAGGTAAGCCTTAAAGTCATGAGTCAGTCAGACTTTCCGAGTGGAACAAGTCAAAATAAGTCAGACTTTCTGAGTGGAACAAGTCAAAATAAGTCAGACTTTCCGAGTGGAACAAGTCAGAATCAGTCAGACTTTCTGGATGGAATAAGTCAGAATCAGTCAGACTTTCCGCGAGGAACAAGAACAAAACTTGATTTTCTGACAGAAGGGGAGATTTCCAAAATATTTCACTGCTGAAGTATTTTGATGATCGACAAGACAAAATATAGGTTCTAGGTCATTTGTACTTTGAACAAAGACCAAAAGATCCTTCATCAGAACACTAGCTAACAGAAAAAATATTCTCAAGAGGAATAAAATGTTAATATTCTGCATAACATAAACACACAAACAGCTGCCTGTATTGTCAGAATCTCGCAAATTGTTCAATCGAAGGATGGAAAAAATATATGAGAATATCACACACACTACCTCCAGTACAATGTTAAATGAGAATATATAGGGCCAACCTGGGCTGAGAGAGATACAACGTCCCAGCACACAGACAGAGACACACACGATTTCATGTCTTCAGCATACAACGGCGAAGTACCTAGCCACAACACCACAGGGGCCAGTGATTACGCAGCGTGGGCCTAAGCAACAACAGACAATGACAAAGAACGATACAATCAGACATTTAAACTTCATCATACAATGACAATTAATGATACAGTCAGACATTCAAATTTGAACTTCATCACTCGTGGAAAAAAATGGGAAATGAGCATGGTCATAATCTCATGTTGAGACCAATTTAATTACCGGTAGCAAATTCTAACCGAACTAAGGCTATGCTGACAGTTCACATGTCAAAGAGCAGCAGGTAACGAATGCGGCACTGATCCTCTCGGTACACTAGGTACTCCGACTGCCAGAAGCTGCTGGACGAATATTTCGAGACTTTCTGCGGTTTCCCTTGAGGCACCACCACATTTTTCCCATCCAGCTTTATTGTCACTTCAGATTTCTCATCTTGAGAAAACAAAAACAAAGAAGAAACAATTTTATACATATATTTTAGATGGATTATCTAATAACGATCTAATATCAATATAAGGTGTATTATCTAATATTATAGACATCATTTCCCACATCTAAAGAGCAAAAGGAAAATAAAAGGCTATAATGTTTAAAAGGGCGCTAAAATTTAAGCATAAAAGAATCAGAATACTTTTTGCTCCTAAGGAAATTTTGAAGGTTAAAGGAATATACTCATAACAGTTCAGAGAAATACAGTTTAACGCAAACACACACACACACACACACACACACACATAAACACACAAATGTTCACACACACACACACACACACACACACACACACAAACACATGCATATACACAAACCCACACACAGCATACCACAACAGCATTCATACTGAAACTTCTTGAGGGAAAAAGATGTTTTTAAATATATATATATATATATATATGAAAAAAAACAGGTAGAGAAAGAGTTAACGGGCACTAAATAATATATCGCGTGGACAATCCTAAATACCAAGAAATATATTCACGAAATCAAACACAAATTTTAAAAATAACAACGCAAGAGTTGTAAAGTTTCTAAAAACTTTTCTCTTCTTACCCGGTTCCTGCTGGCCACAGGCAAGCACACTGTCATAGCCGCTGGGGGCTTGCACCAAGGACGAGTCGTCGCGTGTGATCCTGTGCTGACTGCCGAGGGCGACCTCATTCAGGAACATGATCCCTTTGCCTTGTGCCGAACTCACTGCCACGCAAACAGTCAAACAGACAGAAGCTTAACAATAATAATAATAATGATGATAATAATATTTTAAAAAATAATATTAATAATAATACTAATGATAATAATAACGATAATAAGAATAATAAAATAAGGATAATTTATTTTTACTTTTTCCTTCCTCTGGTATCCTTAGGATGTCGAGGGGAAAATAAGGATAATAATACATGTAATAATACTATAATATGGCATTTATATAGTGCTCAACCCTGATTAAAGAAAACAGGCGTCTGAGCCTGTTACAAAACAGCAAAACACAATCAGTTCATTGTGTTCTGGCTAAAAAATCTCTCTCTGTATATATAATATCTCATTAATCTAAAGACAGAAATGACTTTGGCTGACATTTCTTATTTACTTGCCAGGAAGAAGATTTGACAAATAACTCAAATTACTGCACAAGAAATAAACATTTCAAGGAAATATTTCGTAGAAGTTATTGGTTTGTTAAAAGCGTTCCAGAGTTTATGGCACCGGTCAGAACCCCAGATTTTTTAGGCAGTGATAGCTGAAGAGAAATTTCAGCGTAATACCAAAGATCATACATAACAAGATAGTTCACTCAGCCAAAAAAGTTTCAGCGGAAGTCCGCGCATTGGTTCAAATGTCGCTGCTGGCTTTGTTTTGAAGCTCTCCTTCATTTCTCCAGAAGAAGAATAGGAATAGCACAGTTTGCTTGTTTCCCTTTTATTGTTTTTCACAGAAGCAGGGTTACTCTTTTCGCAAAGTCCTCTCTTTTTCGAAGAGGACGCCACCGAATTTTGAGGACACTTTTTTAATTGGCCAAAGAGAGGAGTGAACTATCTTTTTAAACACCATCTTTGGCAATACTCACCATAACCAGCGGACTTGTTATTCTCTGAGGCAAAGTAAATGCCTCGTCCCACTCTCCCTCCGCTGTGAGGCATGATGCGGAGTCCAGTTTTCAAGATGGCGGTAACCACGGCAACATTGGTCCCATGCCACAACAGCTTCCTGTAGTCGATCTTGTTGTTGGCCGCGAATCTTGGTCCCTGTTTGATTTACATCAGGATATAATGACTAGAAGACATCAGACAGAATTTGTTCAACAGTTTTCCAAGTTTTGTACTTATATTATAGACATACATTTTAAAATAGGTGACAATAACTGATACTAAAATCTGCTAAAAAGCAATGAACAGTGTTTCATCAATCAAAAACATGGAATAATAAAAATAAATATCACTTACTCCCAATGAAACAAAATGAATTCAGAGAAAAAAATTCAATTTCTGTATTGTTTACAGTCTTTGTATTGTTCAAAATAACAGAAAGCCCTTGCAATATCCCTCTCACGCACGCTCGGAGAGTGACACTTAATTTTAAAAATTCTCATGGTATTATCATTCATAGCGAATAGACGTCAAGACTTTCTCGACAATCTTTGAACAGAGACATGCTGGCTTTCTGGATCAGACCAAAACTGCTAAATTTGTCGACAGGTTCAGTAATGTGTGTTATAAAACGGAAAAACAATTTGTAATAATACTTTCTTCCCACATGGTATCTACCCACATGGTACTTTGTATCTTCCCATATGGTATCTACACACATGGTACTTTGTATCTTCCCATATGGTATCTACACACATGGTACTTTGTATCTTCCCATATGGTATCTACACACATGGTACTTTGTATCTTCCCATATGGTACTTTGTATCTTCCCACATGGTATCTACACACATGGTACTTTGTATCTTCCCATATGGTACTTTGTATCTTCCCACATGGTACTTTGTATCTTCCCATATGGTACTTTGTATCTACACACATGGTACTTTGTATCTACACACATGGTACTTTGTATCTACACACATGGTACTTTGTATCTTCCCACATGGTACTTTGTATCTACACACATGGTACTTTGTATCTTCCCACATGGTACTTTGTATCTTCCCATATGGTACTTTGTATCTTCCCATATGGTAAGGAGTACAAACCTCAGAGGCACGGTCAACTTCCCAGATTTCTTTAAGTTTCATTTTCCTCCAGCTGGAGCCCTCTGTGGCCAGGAAGTACTTTTCCAAAAGCTGAAAAACATGAATTTACATCTTTATGATACAATAAAAGGAGCAGTAAATATTCACGTAGAACATTATATTTATCATGCGCCACTTCTATCTTCATTATCTATTAGACTGTCCAATGCAACTTGTCTTATTTGGCTTGACTTGACATGGCTTGCATTTTTCATTCCCCTCAAATGGCAATTGAAATTGCCTCCTGTATTTTGCGCACTTTTATCCTTTTCCCCGACGACCTTCTTGACTTCTTGACAGCCTTCCATCCCCACCCCCCTCCCCTAATTTTGTCACTTTCGAAAATAATATTCATAGCAAAACCTCAAAAAGGAACTTTGTTTATCAATGAAACAATAATTACATTGAGAAATAATCCTATAGAGTCTTCAGAACTTTTTAAACTAAAAAAACAAAAAGCAAACCTTGTATTGTTTTGAAGATTTATCCACATGATCCAGAGTACAATTCAGCAATCCATAGTTGGTATCCAAGGGATGGGGGACCGTGTCTTCCTTCTGTAAAGCAAGACAGAAAAAAAAGACATGTACATGGCAAATTAACACTCGATAGCCCCTCCAATTTTACATTTTCCAGGAAATAAGTTCACCTTCGTTTCCCCTCTAGTATTCTATTCACCCTGTCTGGAACTGATATAATTGCCTGCACATAAAGAAAATAGTAGAGGAAATGGGAGTATAGGTTTATCTTACAGCTGTGTTTATTGTTATATATGAGGGGCTGAGATGCAAAACCCGGTACATCCATTTTAGCACTTTTGAGAAAATCAGCTTTTTATAAATGCTGCTATACGCACAAACATGCGTAAAAAGAGAATTTTTGGATGGCTCTTATGAAGTATATGTTGGGTTTTGGCCGAAAACACTTTGTGCATCTGATAGCCGGTAACAATGTGCATTTATAAGCAAAAAATCTTGAAATTTTTCCAAAATGTCGCTTAGCGGGTTTTGCAACTCACCCCCTCATATTTAATGAACTAGTCTTCCACAGAGCTAGTTACAGACGGCAATAACAGCAGATAGAATATATACTGGCAGTGTCATTGAATACAATTTCAAATTTGTAATTAACAAAACTAAAGCTTCCCCAGGCATAATCCAGAGCGACTATCCTGTTCTCCCTTGCCCATCACAACAGCAAGCACAAGAGCAGCCACTTACCGACTCCTTCTCTGCTTTCTCCTTGTCTTTCTGAATGCTCTGAGCCATCTCAATGTCTCCAAGGACCTGGGAAATAGAAGGAAACATTAGCAGGTGGCTGAAAGGGTGGCACTGGTAGGTCCTACTTCTTTTCCTCCCCCCTGCAGTTTCTGTCAACCTGTCTTGTTTTTTCCCCTGCACTAAATGCCTACTGTTGTGTCCATATGCATTTTTACCCAATCTCAAGAACAAATTATGCACAACTTCTAAATGAAGATAAATGCATAGTTACAATGGTGGAAAATTTTATTGTGATTATGGGCATGTTTGCCAGACAGACAAGGTAACAGGGGCTTCAGAGTAGGAAAAAGTTACTTACAGCTAACATATCATATTTCTTCTGGACCTCTTCAGCAGTTGAAATGGCTGGCGGCACCCTTCTGCCGAAATCATGAGGGATGGCGGTGTAGAACTTTGAGGAGAGCGCATTCAGCGAGTTCTTTGGTTTGTTCGAGTTGATAGCTTCTTCTATCTCTTCTAAAGCTTCAAACCCTGAAATTTAAAAAAAAAGGAAATTAATTCCATCTTCAAATCTCAATTCCTCAACAGTCTTCTTCAATGTGTAACTCTCTCAAATAAAAGAACTGTACGGTGCCTTGTTCCTGTATTTGTTACACACACAATAACAATCATTTACTTTTTCTTTCTCATAAACAAGATTTCCAAAGCTTTTGTACTCATAGGCACCAACATTATTTCTCTGAATTTCTAAAGGAATTTTAACTTTGAAAAGAGGTCAGTCTACAAATATTAGATAAAATAGTGCCTGTCAACCATCGAATGAATAACAACACTGGGCTAACAGCATACAGTATACGACTCAGAATTATCATGTTGAAGTGAAGGAAGGGGAGGGATTGGTTGGGTGGGAGAAATTCACAACTGGGAGTGTATCTACGTGCCAATCAAGTCACAAAGAACGCTGCAAGGGTATGCCATAAAGTTGACAGAACTGATCAGAAGAAGGCTTACAAGGTCTCAACCCTTCACCTTTTTTTTTTGCAGGGGGTTTTACGGCGCTCGCAACTGCATAAGGTCATATGAGCGCCAAGGTGTGGGTGTCAACAGAGAAGTCCTTACAGGGAATCAGACTTACTCTGCTCACCTCTCTAGCTTCAACAGCACAAAGTCTGCTTCGACCATCAAGGCACCCTGGAAAAAGCAGGTCACGAGAGTGACAAACATACAAAAGAAGTAGAGGAAAATGACAATAGCAAGGATTACGAAAGAAAAAGCAGCAGTTCCCTGTTGCAGATCAGGCACAGTTATGAGCGTGACATGAATCAGCCCATTAACAATTCTATTGTGCTTGAACAAGAAATGTCCCTCCCTTTGGGAATGGCCTAAAGACACTACAGTCAGTGGCACCGCCCCGGGGGGTGACCGTTCTCCAAATCCACTGCAATAGGTAGCATGTTTTGTAAACCTGGATGGTTATGATCACTAAACGGATGTATTTCAGCATGGAATGTGAGACACACAGGTAGACAGGCACCTGTAGTATAATGGTTAGGTCCTTTCGTGTCGCACACAGAAGGCATGAGTTAAATTCCAGTGTGGGGAGTCCCTCTCAGTCCCTATTGTTCTTGGTAGACACGGTCAAAGCAGCCTACCTTGCATGCGCTATTATGTCAAAATTTTGAAAACTTCTGGAATAATTTAAAAAAAGATAGAGAACATGGGAAAGAACACAATCTACTGACCTTTGGCGATCTGAGTCTTGCTGAGTTTTCCAAGAGGCATCTTCTTGACATCTATGTCAAATTTCTTCAAGGCGTCGCGGAACATGTCATTGTCAAAAATGAGTTTCATTAGCGCCTGAGTTTCCTTGTTCAGCTTGCTTGGTAAAACTTTCTTAGGGACACCACTGTCGGACGGACCCTGTTGATTCATAGTATTAAAAGAAAAGTAAAAGAAAATCTAAAATACTCAGACGTATTGTACAAAAAAAGAAGAGGCAAGATTTTTCAAGAAATTTGTATAGAGTTGTATTCTAATATGTATGAAAATACAATACTATGTATCTTTTTTCAAACCGTAAACCTTACTTTGATCTACTTCAAAAAGATTCTATCTTACAGCATTATTGTATTGGAAATTTGCTTAAATTTTAATACCACCAAGATTTTTAGGCAAAAGTAAATTCCAACACCCTCATTCACAAAATAAGTTAAGAGTGTCTTTTGTACAAGACTTCATGGTGATAACTTTACAATATTATAGTAGATATATATGAAGATACTTGATTTTTTAAAAAAAACAAGAAAAAAAACCCTCTCCACATGAAAATCGAATTCACGTCTTCTGCTTGCAAAGGCGAAGCCACGAACTGCTGCACCATAGACTTGCCAGGATAAAGAGAGCACACATCCACAACTCAAATCATCAGAACCATTACCACGTATAATGACATGGCTGCATCTGTTTGCCTTCATAGTCAAACAGTAGAAAAACTTTTAAAATACTGTGAAACAGTAGAAATATTGAAAAACTACAGTGGAGTCCACTTGATCTGAACACAGTTGATCCAAAAACAGGGGTTATCTGAAAGAAAATAAAAATCCCCAATCTATTCCTTCTATTTCAGCAACCTCCCTTACTGAAAGCCTGGCTAAAACGTAGAAAACCCGGCAGTCCTGAAGATGTCGGTGTAAGCAGACTCCACTGTATACAGATTTCCGAGAAACTCACCATGTCCACCACGTCTTCACCATCGTCTTCCTCTCCAGCCATCTCCAGCAGAGTATATTTCTTAGGTTTAGGAGTAAAGTTGTCTCTAGCACTCCATGCATTGCCTGTTTTGTCTCTGAACTTTTTCTCAAAGTCCTTGATAGCTGGTTCTGGAGAGCTAAATGGACCCTTGAGAGCATTTTGTCCGGTCTCTCCCTGAATTCATGGGAATAGAAGTGTATTAAAATTTTAAACACAGTGATTGTGGAGACAGAGGGCAAGTGATGTGAGTGGAGAAGGACACTTGCACACAAAGAAAATGGGAATACTGCAAACATTGCATCTTTAACGTTTTCCACATTTTTTATTATAATAAATAGGCCTACTCATAGTTCGATATGTATTTAGCTATTGTGTGTTTTCCATAGTCAAAAAACATCCCAGTTTTTATCCCACACACCTTTACCAATAAAAGACTTGATGTAGATACTTTCATTCTCCTTCCCCCTTTATTTTCCATGACAATCTGATTGAGACCTAATAAGTTTTAGTAACTTAATAAATACATGAGTCCACAAAGTGAAAACATACCATTGCATACACACAAATTCCACAAACATAATGAGTATACTAACAAAAAACATAGTTCTCATCATTTTATGATTAAAAATTAAAAACCATTATTATTTCTAAAAATAAAATTTTGTTCATTGAAAACTTAAATGTCGAGGAAATTAATTCTTTTCATTCTGAAAAATAACTCGCAAATAAAAAATAAATTACGGAAAGATAGTACAAACTACTCATCATTTTGCTGTAAAGATGGTAAAAATGTGTATTCTATGCATGCACTCACCACTCGGCCCCATCTGTTCCAAGCATAGTAAGACTTTCCGCAGTTCAACACTTGTATAACGTAGTACTTGTTGTTGTTGTGGCCAATATTGGTCTGGTTCAACATTGCGTCAAAGTCTTCATGTACCTGTGAGCATCAAAACAAGAATCTACATAGTGAACAAACAACAGAAATCATCATAAAATTATAAAAACACTTTTAAGAAATTCATGTCACTATTCTTGAGCGATACTACATGAGTCACAAAATGTCGACACAGACAGCAAAAGAAACTGAGATGAAATGACCCAAAGCAATTTTGAGAAAGCAAACACAGAATTCATACAGAATATGATACCCAACAGTTTTGTCAAGAATAAGTCTCAAAGTCTATCAAATAATACTCAGACTTTTCTCAACTGGACGACAGTTCCTACAAGATTTACTTACCTCAGAAGAGCTAGACAAATGACAAAAGGTGTCTGGTTTGTGCTTCTTGGGTTTCCCCTTGTCTGCAGCTTTCAGTTTTGCAATCTTGTCCTTCATGGTTTCAGGTGCCGCCTCCTCTTCAACTTTTACTTCCTCCGCGGCTTGCTTCGCTTTTTTTGCCTTGGTGGCAGCAGCCTTTCCAGCAGCTTTCCTTTTGGGTGGCATTTTTAGCAGAATGTAGCGGCACCAATTTCAATTTCAAATGACAGAATCGTTCTGTAGAAAAAAAAGACTTTGAAGTGTGCAAAGCAAAGAAGCAGGGAAATTTTCATTTTTGTGCAATACAGTTTTTTTACTTATTAGTTTGTATGTTACATTAAAAAAACAAACATTGTAAGTAATTATTATAACTGAAATGTCATGTTTTTAACTGTCTTCTGACACTTCTACACATATACCAAAATTATAAGCCTTTTTAGATATTTCAAGGGCCCTTACGAAGCTGCACTTTCAGTTTACTCACAACAGAGATTTTGTGGCTCCATTTTCTGAAGTTAACTCTCAGAGGTCAGCAGGTCTCATGACTAGACGCTGCATTATTGTGGAATTTTGATTTGTTTTCCTCAGTTGTTATAAATATCTGCTTGCCTGTACTGCAACGGTGTCGACCTCACATATCAAATCTTTAATCTTCTTTTCCTGAATTTTTGCTGAAGAATACATGCATCGCAGCTTCATGAATCCTTTCGTCTTTATTATGATGAAAATGATAATGCTAATTAAAGTGCCAATATTTCAACTTAATCTTGCTACAACAAAGGAGAGAGAAAAGGCTTACGACTTGTAAGAAGTCAGTTGAGATACGATTACATAACCAACATACTTACACTAGAGTACAACCTCCACAACAGCTAAGTAGGTCATTCATAAGTTACAGTATCTGTATATATAGTTATTATAGTATGCAATAGAGTTATCAACAGCCAGGTCATTAGAGGTATACCAATACTATGAAGATTAAGATTCTAACACTGGATTATTGCCCTGCCATGAAGGAAAATATAATTAACCTGGCTGCCTTCAAATATTTCAAATGAAGATTTGATTAAACTTTCTGCGATGTGCACTGGGTAGGCCCATATAGGCCTATTTGCATGTTTAATTGTTGTTCCTCCATTGAAGCGACAAAGACTATGTTATAGTCACCCTATAGTCAGGGGTGAGTGCACCAGATACTGGTCAGGCCAGTCTGCACTCGAAAAGTTCTCTATCGCAATGCAGACATGGGGAGGTGGCAGCAGTTGGAAATCTATGAGTCTTCCTGGCGAACCTGCGCTACTCAGTTACTTGTAGCAATTCGGTTGTTTTCGCAAACCTTGGAGCGCTTTCGTACAACTGCTTAATTGTCACCAAACTTTGTCCTGTGCAGTCTGCTCCCATGTTGTGTGGTTGATACTGGAGGCCTTCATTGAGGTGCTTTCATGGAAGCTTTGAGGCTGGCTTTAAAACGCTTCTTCTGGTCTCCATGACATGAGCAGATCAAACTTTATAGTGCACTCTACAGGATGCATCCATGGTCTGGTCAGGGTCTGGTCTTGCCTCAATCTACCCTCCGAGGGAAGGCGGTGAGGGCTGAGGGTTGGTCTGAAACCATTTTCTAGATCGAGGAGTATTACTACAACATTTTCAAATTATCTATTCCGCACTATTTTGGCCTCTATGCAACTTCATTCATTAGACTCTAGCTAAGCACTAGATTTTTTCTAGATCTAGAGGTCTTCGTGGTAGGTGTGAGGAAATAATTGCACAGACATACCTGATCGAACCCTGCAAACTGCAGACCGCTCTCTGTCGACCTGGTTGTCTCCCACGGTTTTGATCCAACAAACAATCCAACAATAACAACCGGCACCTTCCTTTTATCACTCCGTTTGCATGGACAAGTCTCGGTCCGTCTTGTTCTAAATATAGCCCCTGAGCACACCCATTTACTTCGCGGAATCAAGATAACCTTGGTGTGGCAAAACACAGTATGGCTAAACAAACGCTAGCCAGGAATACAAGGCAGACCATGCAAAACTGGGATGGATGGCGTCAAATATCCCCACTAAAAGAATAAGATATAAAAAGCATCAACAACAGAAGCCATCCACCTTGCCCTTGACAGAAAATTGCACCTCCCTTTGACATCTAACGATAGGGGTCTCTGAGCTAGGCTACAAGAAAAAAAAAGCCACACAAATTTACTTCGCGGAGTCATAACCTTCGCGTGGCAAAACATGGTAAACCGCAGTTCGAAGAATAATATTTAAACTGGGGATTTTTAATTGTTGACTCCAGCGGAATGGGGAACCCAAAAAGTCTTGAAAAGAGGAAAATCATTCTAAAATTCAACTGTAAACATTATGCATCATGAACTTAGAAGCAACATTAAATGTTCTCATTTCTCCATTGGATCATTCTCTACGTCCACCCCACCTCCCCCTCCAAAACCATATTCTCTCTGTCTCTCTCTCTCTCTCTCTCTCTCTCTCTCTCTCTCTCTCTCTCTCTCTCTCTCTCA